AAGGAATATGAGGGTGATAATATGGTGAACTATATCATACCTAAGAATTAAAATGGCTATCTTACATCTACCCTGCGTGCAGAGTCTAGTTAAACTACACTCTGCCTAGTAGAAACCATATTACAGTTTAGTAGCCCCGCCCCCACGACGGGTGACGATGACAGTTCGGGTAATAAATCACTTCTGACCTACGCGCTGACCTTTCTTCCACCAATCAGCGAGCTTGAAGAAACACGCGCCAAAATAAATTCTGAATTGTCATTGGTCAATTTCGGGCTTAACGATGATATCAGAAGGAATGACCATATATAGAACATCGGTCAAATTTGGCCGACGAACACTGATTGGCGCGGTGAGTTCACAGGTTTATTTTAGTTTGAAAGAGTGAAGACGGAGCTCTCTTTTAAGAAGTGAAGTCGAACGAATGCAAAGGGTATCTTACATCTTCCCAGCATGTCTAAAATTGAATCAATTCGAGATTGGAAACTTCTGATCATCCCATCGAGTGGGTTGTCTGGAAACATGCAGACAAGAAGCAAGACACCACCTGCCAACTTCAACGATGATCGTTAGTAGAAAGATGCACATCCTAATCAAAATTCTCAATTTTCCACGAGAGATATGATCTTAAAAATCAAATCTGGGGCGAGGATGACAAATACAGACAAATAAACCTGCTTTAAAACACTTTCTCATGTATTTGAAAATAAATCTGTACATGTACACTAGACCTCAAACTAGAAAATGCACTTACCATGCAAAATTAACCTCGAAATTAAATCTTACGAGGTTCATACATTATTTGTATCATAAAAAAATACAGACAGAAGATATAGGTATGCTAGCTTTTCTATCAGATGGTTACTTTTATGGTTATCACCAAATAACAATATCACTGAGTATGTATCATGAAATTACTGTAAATAACAGTAAGGGGATAATCAATATGCAATACATACTGTTTAAATAATTAATCCAATCAGCCATATCCCAAAGGATTTTAATCAATTGTTGGAATTTCTGTTATGGTCATAGAAAACCTATTGCTAATATGGGTGTGTAACATTTGTGGCTTTATAATGACTTATTCTGAATCAACTTAACAATTCTGTTTTCACTTTAGAATGTGTTCACTTTGTCGAGGATGTCTTTACATGGGAGTCAATGGAATGAGGTTCAGTTTTCACTTTAAGACATGCTCACTTTATTGAGGATATCTTAACCTAATATATTTAGGAAATTTTCACTTTAAGCAAGGTATTTCAACATAAAAGTCAATGGAATAAGGTTCTAGGGATAAGGTATCTGAATGACACAAATGTACAGTTTAAAAACTGCTAGTCAAAAAACTACTGAAGATTTTCTTGATCTATAAATCAATTAATAATCCCTATGATTAGATGACAAACAAGTAAATGAATGACACATAACAACCCCAAATGAAACCTATTTAGGTCAAATAAAATGGCCAACCTCTTCAAAATTCATATATTTTGGGGCACTGCATGAAACTTCAAGTGAGTCATGCTTCTATGTATATCACCTAATTTCAAGTAAGTATAAAATCATGCACAGGTACACTAGTCCATGTGCTAAAAGTGTTACATATATTTCGGGGCACTGCATGAAACTGCAAGTGAGTCTAGTCGTGCCTATATGTATATTGCCAAATATCAAATAAGTATAAAATCATGCCCAGGTACACGGTCCATGTGCTAAAAGTGTTACCATGATTTATTGATGGACAAGAGCTTTGATTACACAGGGCAGTAATTACCAATACTGCTGGGCAACAATTTACAATATAGGGAAAAGTACAGTGAATTTATGATTTATGCGATTTATCATTAATATATGACTCATTTGCCTTGCTGATAATATCATAAATGTACATTCTGTTACAGAAGAAAAAATTGTTCTTAATTATGGTAATGGATGCCTTGATATAGATAGTTTTTATTTAGAATATTTTTTATTTTGACAAAACATACCAGGGGTGGATCCAGGATTTTGTGTTAGGGGGGGGGGGGGGGCGTGTGATGATAACTGTGAGCGAATTAAAAAAATGATTCATATTTTGTAAAAAGCAATGAGGCAAAACACGAATTTTCCAACTTTTTAGGAGGGGTGTGCGCCCCCACGCCCCCGTCTAGATCCGCTGGTGCATACTCTAATATAAGAATAAAAGTTCTATGAACCATATAATGATTAATGTTTTTTATATACAAATTTGCCACTTTTCATTAGGACAGATAAGGCTCATTGACTGATGACACAAATACATAATGCTATATAACAGTTTATAGTTTTTATAGCAAGGGCAGATCGGGAAATTTTCAAAGAGCCAATTTGTGAAAAATCCCTACCCGTTCTTGCATTAAATAGCCTCTACCAATATTAGGTCTATTTGTGAAAACAGACCCCATTTTTATGCCCAAAATGAAAAAAAACTAGGAGACTTTTGGGAAAGGCCTGTTCCACTCTATCTTACCTGCAAATCAGTTGATATACAAAATAAATGTATCTACCTTCTGGGCAACATTGAAAATGTTGTTCATCTTGATAACAAATATGGGATAAAACCATCTGTTGAAAGCCCATGATAAAACAAATAACTTTTTTTACTATTTCAACTTTTATGGTAATGGCAGCCAATTTTTACTCACTATATGTCTACAAGTAATACAGATACATTTCAGCAGGACTATCACACACTGAAGTTATCTTTGATTAAACAATGTAGAAATCAAAGTTATCTTTTTTGTTGATAAAACAATCAAATTCCAGCTAAGTTGTAAATTGACTATCTGATTGGTTAGTTGAGATGAAGTGAACCAGATATTATGTAATGGCAGTTCAAATTGAGATGATATGTTCTGGTAAAAGAGATGGAGGATTGAAATAATGAAAGACTGATACACTTAAAAGATGAATGATGCTAGCCATGGGTGTACAGTTGGGGACAAAAATAAATGACAGGTCGATTTTCGATCACCATTTCCTAATTATGGTGGTCTGAAAGCCCATAATTTCCAATATTGTCTAGATACATATCCCTTAAGATTTGTATATTTTACATTTTGTATAATGTCATCCACTGATTTATGGCCTCTTGTAAATTCTCTTATTTTTAACATGGGAAATCCTCACTTCAGCAAATCCACCTGTCATTTATTTATGTCCCCAACTGTAGCACTATATTTCTAAGTAGTACGCCACCACAGAACAAAAGTTGAGTGAAGCAGAAAACAAGCGTTTAGGGGGGGTCTGGTAGACTATATCCTATTTAGTCTGAATTATATTCAGACTATAAGGCACCTATGTTAAAGTTTGGCAATTGTAAATATTTGTTTACATAGGAAGTCCTATTCAAAATGGCCGATTGGGTAAAATTAATTTGCACATTTTTACTTCAGCTAGCTTTATTTCCACTTGACAATATGCTGTGTTATTTTTTATTGCTTTTAATTGTACCTTACTATTTAAAGTAACTTTCTATGATTTCATCTAAAAATTAAAACCCTTGGAAATACTATATATGTTTTAAGTGCCATATATAAAAATTTATTTTAGAAATATTGTGGATCAAAATGAAAAAAAAAAGAATAAAAACATATTCCACCGGAGGGATTTGAACCCAGATCTCTGGAATAAAAGTCCATTTGAGCCCAAAGCTCTAACCACTACACCAAACTGCCAAAGCTTCTTGGAGGAAGAAATTTTTTATCTATATAATCATGGACGAAAAAAGTCTTTATTTACATGCTTAAATTTCTTAAAAATGATCAGCATTACTACTAATAATAACATTTTGCATGTCTGAGTAAGTATTTTGATCTACATTTAGGATAAATGTTGTTTTATTCAGTTTTCATTTTGGGTATGACTTCCTGTCAAAACAGTGTTAAAAATGGAGGGCTCAACAAAAATTTTCAATTAGAAAATGATATATATCCTTTGATCAGCTGTTTTTGGCACCTGAACTCATCCTACTAGAAAGGTAAGAGCATTTTCTTAAGACATATGGCTCGAAATCTCACATTTCTCCTTCTAAGTCTTAGAAAGACACTTTAATTGAAATTTTGTAATGTTTATTTTATTGAAGAAATGATTCCTCTAATTGATAATTTTGTGCAAAAAATTTCACTGCAATTTCCACAGGAAAGTAGTACATCATAACAGACTGACTTCTAGTCAGTCTGTTGGATACATACTAGGGGGTCTGGGGGAAAACCAGTTTTCCCAAGGAAAATTTTGAAATCTGCTTGTATTTCGAGCAAATTTGCAAATATCTGGTTGCTTGTGCATACCCAGCGTAAGAGGCCCTATGCCTATGATAGCTAGAGTCCATTTCACTGCTTCATTTCGTCAGTAGAACGGCAAATATAAGAAATTGGGAGACCATTGTGCAATAATATATGGAAAAGTATATTCATAATGTACATGAATGACATTTGTATATCTTGGATTGCTTCTAGTTTGGCTTATAAAGTGTGTGGCCTCTTATATTTGGATGTTTCTCTGCCATGTTATTTTCAATAAGATTAACATGGCTGAAATTCTTCAAATTACAAGACGGCACAGGCTTATTGCACAAAAAACTAAAAAATCTGAAATATACAAATGTCATTCATGTACATTATGAATATACTTTTCCATATATTATTGCACAATGGTCTCCCAATTTCTTATTTTTGCCATTCTACTGACGAAATGAAGCAGTGAAATGGACTCTACATGGTGGTGTTCCAAAACTCCCAGGGTACCAGAAAAATCCCAAAACTCACATTCTGTACCCTATTCTGTATTTTTCAGATGATATGCACAGCCCAAATGCTTTACCAACTTTAAAACAATTTGGCACTTCATAAATCCAGCTGCGTAACCTACAGATTAGTACACTGAAAACACTTCAAAGCCTATTATTTGACAACTTTGAAACTTTCCTGGAAGTTTTGAAAACTTTTCAAAACTTTTGACAAGAACTGAAAAATACATACCTTGCATCCAAATAATTTTTCTAGTTCTTCATGCATCCAAAACTCTACTCGCAACCTCTTTTTAATTAAGTTCATTTGATCTTTTCCATATCGCATGGTTAAAATCTTTTTCCTTTCATCCTGTTTACTATTTGGTTCAATAAAACTTAGATGTCGAGGACTTGTTGGACTTTCGTGATTTGACTGTCCATTTGCTGTGTTTTGCTCCATCTGATCTGCTGATGTATAGGTCCCTGGAGGAGCAGAATTATTAGTCCCTGAGAAATTCCTGTCACTGTTATAAGTTGGAGGCAAATCGTAAGAAGAAGACGACATTACGAGGGTGTTACCATGTTGTTCTGATCGCAACAGTTGGAAAGTTGTAATGAATAATAACTTTTAATACTTTCAAATATCAATACGCGAATTTCAGGATCGAGTATTTGTCTGTATAAAACATTAATTTAAGCAATTGCTATAAAATGTATCTATCTTTTTAATACTTTGGGAACTATGAATTTAAATAACTATGCAAAGATCAATGATGGTAATATGTCAGAACTATTTTACTTCGCGCAAGTTTATGTTATTCGGCTGATTTTCTCTAAATGTTCAACTCACTTTATATAGTATTTTCTTTTTATGGCACACCGTAACTTTAGTTCAGTATTATTACCAATCTCCGAGCCTTTCGTCCAGTGCCATCCGTACCTCCTGTGCCTTAGTGAAGGTACGCAACGAACGAAATGAATTTTGAGAATGTATTATTACAGTTCACAGATAAAGCTGTTACAAATCATGTTTTCCGGTGGCACACATGCAGGCCAGGGCTCCATTCGCCTTACGAAGTGTCTGGAGTACCTTAAAATTTAAGGTTCTTTAGCCAAAATGCTAAAGAGCCTTAAAATTTAAGGCTATTTAGCTGTGAACATAGTGTTTTGGCTAGAGAGCCTTTGTGTTTATAATCCGTGTTTATATTGTTTTTATTGAAGTTTTCGTCATCTAAACAATAAAACAACACTCTCGGAAGTTTTTCAACCCAGAATGCCACTTAAAAATTTCACACATGTATATCACTATAGAGTTGTAAAAAAATTTGGCCCCATCATGCAATAACACTCTGGTATAGTGGTTAGGGTGCTCGCTTTCCACTTCTGAGGCATGGGTTCGATTCCCCGACGGAGCATCTTTTATTTTGAATAACAAGCCGGAAGTTTGTTCTCCGCCCGGTTCTCTGATGTCCGGAAATTATGTACACAATTTTTTCTAGAATTCTTGGGCTTGCTCCATCGCTCAATCATCAATGTTGAAATTAATCACTTGTATCGGCTCTGCTTTAATCTAGTCACGAGAATACAGGGAATCCCATTTTAAGATGGCAAAAAGTATGATGAAGACCTGGGGATGAAAAAGGATCTTGTTTCTTCTAAATCAGCACATCTTGACGCAGTTTATCGTGAATGCAGGGACATCACAGAATACACTTCCAAATCTATTGCCCATTAGATTTCAATGCTGATTTTAGAATTTTTCACGTGACGAGATATTTTTGCATCTTCCTCAGAATTTAAGCACATGAGATGGCACAAAGAAAATTTACAGTGCAGTAGGTGAACTGTCGAGGAAACAGCGGCTTATGCAACACAACAACAACATTTTTATCCTAGCCTCCAATCCATCAATAAATGTCTATACATCAAAATCTTTACTAAACGGACGTTGTGATTTATGTAGTGGATACAATGGTAAAAATAACATTTTTCTGGCTATACGTGATTGCCTGGTCTTACACCTTCTCTGGTGAACCAGAGACATATGATATATTTCAATATATGCATGCACATCAAACAAATAAACATTTACTTTTCAAAATCGATGTTTGAACCTTTAAAAAGCCAAATTTAGACTGGGGATTGAAAAGGTTCTTTTATTTCTCTCGGTAGACCGGAAGTAAATTTATGAGTCTAGCAAAAGTGATAATGTTTTTTTATGAAGTGGGGAAGTCAAAACAGTACTAAAAGAAGTCATAGTGAGCATTAGAAGATCATTTAAAACCATTCAAATCGACGGCAAAATCAGTTGAAATGACTGAAATCTTTATATGTTCGTTATATGTTATCTTCTTCATCTTCGCGGACCTCAGAGAAGTCACTTCCGGTTTAATAATTAGTGATTTTATCGATCGAAAAAATTTTCTTTTTGAATTTGTCCGATATTTGCTAATATGGTATGTATATTTGTGCTGATTGTTAAATTACAAAATAGGTTGGGTATAGAATATGTCAAAGTCGTTTGATCTTGTCCCAGAAGCAATTCGTCATTTCTGTCGCCTGGAATTCCTTTAAGGCTCTCTAGCAGAATTGGCTATCAAAATGCTAAAGAGCCTTAAAATTTAAGGCTCTTTAGCCCAAATGCTAAAGAACCTTAAAATTTAAGGCTCTTTAACATTTTGGCTAGAGAGCCTTAAATTTTAAGGCTCTCCAGGCGCGGCCTTCGCCTTAGGCCCCAAAATGGGGTTAAAGTTAAAATGGATCATAAAATGTATTCTGGATACAAATTGTAATTGATTTATTTAATATAACAAACTGATATTACTGGGTGTTATTTTGATATTTTGTGCCTGATTCTTTTTTAGCAGGCCTAAAATTTCTAAACCTGGAATCATTTTTCAAAGCAAGACCACATATTTTAAGTAAAAGTCCCTTCCCTTCACGACTGCCTATGCATTCAGTGTTTCATTAAAAAACAGTACACGGAAGCTCAGCATTCTGATATTCATCAAATCTGTGCAGTCACAAGCTTGACAAAATCCACAGTAGAACTTCTTTTTAGTAAATATGTGAATATGCAGGTCTATTATCATGGGCTTTCAACTAAATTGAAAGCCCATGATTATATGGATTTATTTTTGTATTCATTTTAACTTTGAGATTCAGTTTTGGTTTAACATCCAGTTAAACGTTCCTGATTACATACAGGTTGACATCATAGAGGGCGCTATCACAAACAAGTACTGGACGAACCGATAAATTCCCGGGTATTGTAACGCCCTTGCATAGACCATGCATAGAAAAGGGTCTGCATTGTATTTGTCATATTGCTCTTAATTAATGGCTTTCGAGTGTTTCCGTTTCATTGCAGTGTAGTTTAAATTTAGACTTTTTAAATGTCACCGCGCATGCGTAATTGATTTTCGCCATATCGAAAAACAAATCCAAAACTTCAGCTTATTATCCACGTTTCATACCAGAATGCGGTGATATTTGATATAAATATGATTTGGTAATTTTAACATTGACAATGAAGCTGTATTTTGGATTACTTCTGGCCGTCCACGTCGCTCTTGCAGTCGACGAATTGGACGAAGCTGAATACAAAAAAATTCTCGGTTCAGAAGTTTGGAAGGAAATCAAAAAAAGCCTATTCGACACGTCAAAAAAAGATGCACTGAGTGATGATTATGATTTCTACAACACAAATATGAACAGAAACAAAGACCCTTCATGTAATCGTCTGTATAAATCAGATGAGGGGTTTATCATCAGGACACATGAATCCATCGCGAATGGTGCAATTTTTATAGAATCTCCTGGAGCAAAGACTCAAGGAGACTGCCTCAGTGAGTGTTGTAAGCAGAGTGAATGTAACCTTGCTGTGTTCGAGGATAAGGTATACATTCTTACTATTTTTTTTTGTAGTAATGGAAATAAATGTTCCTAAACTTGGATTTCAATATTAATAGTATAGAAGACCAAGTGACATTCTTGGCCACAGGACATTGTCAGACAATCATTTGGCATCTGGTGAAAATCAGGATCATTGTTCGACCCTAATAATATATCACCTGACCATATTGATAAAACAATGTGTCTTCAAAAAGTTATGGAAGATTGTTTGACAATGCCCCATGTCAGCCAATACCCCTTGTACTCTATTAGAACTTCATTATTACCTGGTTACAAGTGATACTTTTGTGGCGCAAATGCAGTTCCTAATTTCTCACCTTTTTGAATTCCCATTGAGCAGTAAGCGTTCTTTTTCTTTGTATGCACTCTGATTGAGAACTTTTAAATCACATGTTTGTTCTCCGAACGGTTTAGAATACATAGAAAAGAAATGCTAATATTTATGTATCTTATTTTTCAGAGCAAACGTAGCTGCTACCTATTTGATTGCAAAGTGCCATCTTTATGCACATTTACAAATCACACTGGCTACATCAGTATGCACTTAAATAAGGAATCCATTCAGAAAGCCGTTGTCGCTGAGAATGCTCTTCAGGGATTGGTTGATAATTCACCATTGACTCCTCCCACTAAAGAGAAAGCGACTGAAGCCCCACTCCCGCCAAAAACAAACCCACCTACAACTTCAACAACAACATCAACAACAACACAAGCACCACCTATTAGACGACCAGGTTGGTTTATGTTTTACTAGATAACCGAGATGTGATAATCTTTGGCTGCTTTAGGTTCTCAAAAAAGAACCAAAGCAATAAATTTCTAACATTAAAAGTAAATGGAAATTGTAACAAATATACCATTTTTTTAAAATGAGGTGTCTATAGGTGGAACCCCCCCCCCCCTCTTTTTAAACCCAATCACTATTGTTAGTACCTCAGTGTAAATACTCGTATCTGATTGGTCAATTGGCGGTCAACATTTTTGCCTGTACCCCACCTGTGCATCATGGGATTTCATATTATTGACCGCGTATGTTACTGTACTACACTTGTGAATTATGGGGAATATGGCGTCATAATGTTTACAGAAAAAACATGGAAGACGGACATTTTGTAAACGTTGATGAAAGTGATATTTTTGACTTTACTAGACGACAAGTATAGCAAAAATATCACTTTCATCAACGTTTACAAAATGTCCATCTACCATAATTTCAAGACAAATTATGAATGTAGTTTCGCACAGGTGTCAACGGAACCAAACAGTGAACCCCTCTTTCCCGAACCCGAGTTTCCAGGATTCGCCTCGCATCCCTTCGACTCTTTCTCAAGATTTGGGCCCTAATTTTGTACCCCTACCTTATCATCCTGGAGTCTCATTTATAACACCCTTGTAATTACAATGCGAAGTTACTTAAGCATGATTAAAAGTGTATGTGTGGATGGGGGGGGAGGTTGGACCCCCCACTAACCAAAACCTGGGTCATGTACCTTTATATACTCAACCGGCCAGGTATTAACAGTACAAAAGGGAGAAAAAATCCATCAGGTCCATTATTCTACACGTTCACGTACACGTTTAAGAAAATGTATCTTAAATTTATTTAGAACTACGCCTTTGTACCAGCGACACACTTTCACAGGTGCGTCTTTATTATGAAACACAATAACAATAACACAATAAAAAGTTGCAATATCCTTCCTGGTTAGAATAGGTTTCCACGTACCCCTAACTAAAAACATTATATAAAATAACTATCTATACACCATCAATGCAAATATATGCTTTCTTCCATTCTGATACTGTTTCTGTTTCACCTGAAACACAGGGCTGAGAAGAAATGAGATGTCATGGTTTATCATGATGGCTTTCTTCGAGAATACATAATGCTGGCCCGGGAATGCGGGGTGCCACATTCATTGCAACACACCTTGCAACAATGTCTTATGAGGGTAATTTTTTATATTGAGAAGTTTATCATCTATTGGAATTAAATACATGTGTGAGGAGGCCTTTCAGGCAATTTTCGAAAACGTAGTGAGAACAAGTTTGGTGTAGAGGGGAGGGGGATATCTCCCACCTCGGTCTCTCTCTAATGCATAGGCCACATATGCACCGGGCGCCAGCCAATGAGTAGTCATCGGCCAATTTCTAAATCAGTTTCGACAAAAATTATGTAATTCGGCAATTTTATTTACAAAACATGAAGGTACATTATGTAAATTTTGAAGACAATTAGTGCATATTTTTAACAAAATACCAGCACCATTTCTCTTACTTTTGGAACATCCTGTATGTCACCATTTCTGGCAATGTCTAAAATTAAATATACACATACACATAATCACAAGTGAATCATCTTTTAATACATCACTCTCATTTTTATAATGATAATTCTAGATTTTGATTTATATCAAAAGTGTTCAATTCAACAGGTGCATTTGGATTTGTGAAATACAACCTGTATAAGGGTAAGTTATCTTATAAAAGGTAAATGACATTCTATATAAGTTGCCCTAGTCATTCCACAGTTCCAGGTGTTAGTTTGTGGAGCCCATGTCTTGCCACATCACACGTGGAAATGACTTTGACAAACCTTGGACATCTTTCTTTCAACCCATGGACTCCAAGGAGGATTGGCTCCCAGAGTGCACCACCGATATTCTGTCCCATATATGGTAGCGTGACCTTTGACCTTGTTGACACGTGACAGGTTTGAAACCATTTTGAAACCTGTGAGGTCAAAGGTCACCGCTACCATATATGGGACAGAATATCGGTGGTGCATTCTGGGAGCCAATCCTCCTTGCATGGACTCTAAAATAACAAGAATTTGCATTGTCGGGAGCGTAAAATTGGTTATTTTGAATGCCGCCTCTTGTATTTTTCATCTGCCTCTTGTACATAAAGTTACTGAAACCTCTGCATTAAAGCCTATCTCTACGTTGAACACTTTTGGTTTGTACCTCAAAAATATATTCTTGGGACTTTGAAAATTATTTTACTGACAAAGGTGTTCTACTTCTAGAGTTGCACCACTTTACAAGTTTCACTGACTGTATTACATAAATCATAAGTTGAACATATCCTTATTGTTTGGATTTGCTCGAGCGCTCGAGCAATTGGTCACGATATGAGCGATACTCAACTTGAATATTGCTTAAAATTCTGTATCGTTTTTAACCTCCAAAAACAGCAAAATCATGTTCGAAAGCAGTTTAAATAATGTAAGGTTGTATCTTCCTGTTCTTTCCATTTTGTTCCTTGTGTAATCTGGCATAGAATGTACCTCTAGTGTAGGATATCTGTGTCGTTTAATGAAAAAAAACTTTAAAAAATATTGTGAAATATAAATATAAATCATAGATGGACACTGGACACAAGTACACACTAGTTTTAGGACATTCATAGTTACATACTGTAACACAAGTTCGAATTTCGGCACTACTTAGTAATCTTCTCTCATTCTGATACTCACAGCATCTTTCTGTTTCAACAGAAACATATTCTCAGTCAAGGCTGAGAAGAAATGGTTTATCATTATGATCTTCTCTATATTCATTTGCAGTTGTACAGTAGATCCATGATAAATTTGTAATAATGGTTATGGGTTTCCCTCTAAAATCAGATTTGAATGTTTATTTTTTACATACATCTGTGTACCATTTAGAGTTTTGACTATGTATCTTTAATTTATTCCTCCTTGTCAATTTTACTCTTATACTCTATGACAGTACAGTTCAAAACATGATTACCCAAATATTTTATGGAATGGTAGGTGATAATTACTTGTGCCATATGTCATAACAATATAACTGTATCTCTAACAGTCCTACAGCTTATCTGTTATTCCCATGAATAAATTATCACAATTGTTTTAATAACACAGAATTTGACAAATTTCCTGAAAGGAATGAAATAATAAAACACATTTAGTTAACTACTCAGGATTATGTAGTTAAAGGGGTTCGAGGGAACTCCCTCCTGGCCAAAATTTCTTTCAAAATCCTGCAGTTTTCACCGCTCTGAGCGATTTGGATCAATTGTTAAATTGGAACCTGCTGTCTGAAATTCTTTGAAAAGTGAACCCCTGAAAATCTGGAATTTTGAGAAATTACCAGATGTAACCATGACGCATATACTGTATATGACATTTAACACATGGGTGATATTCATAGAAATTAATTTCTGACTTGTAGGAATAATTATCAGCTTTACTCTTTGATACTGATGTAATCATACCTGAAACATTAATTACGAATGAGATATATTGTATTATCAGATAATCTGAGTTATTCATTGGTTTCCATGGTAACCAGTCAAGAAGAGAAATAAGCCATAGAATATTTTATGTCACAAATTATTCTCCTGATATCTGTTTCTGATTATTGTGATTATTCTTGAAAACAGAATTCAAAAAATCATGGAGAACGGTATAAATTAATGTCTAAATTTTATTTACTTTTTCAGTTGAGTTATTTGGAACCTGTTACCAGGGTGATACTTGTGTTGACAAGCATGCTGTGTGTTCACTGTTGCTAGGATACTGTATCTGTGCTGATGGTTACCACAACAAAGGAGGATTTTGTGGTAAATATTGATTAAATAAGCTACATGGTTGGTCAAGGTGCTGGTACATATGCATAAAATTCATGATATTAGAGTAAAAAGGACCAGGTATATTGCAAGTTATTTTGGACAGTCATATCTTTCACAATGAGTACTTTCTGGCCATAAATGCAGTGGGTTTTATTAAACAGTATGTTTTCTTTCAAGTGAAGTCCCCATGATAATAAAATATATTAATCCAACTCTGAAAAACGATGGATTGGAACCCCACCTTGTCACTTTTTAAAATATTTGGCTTATTTTCTAAAAAGAGGATCACTAGACTTTCAATACCATTCTTCTTTTGAAGATGTTTTAGACCCCGCATTGAATAATCTTTTCATGCAATAAAAAATCAGAAAAGAAGATCCTCTTTTTGAGTCAATGGGTTCAACAATTTGAGAAAAAATGTTGACATGGGGTCCCTATTCATAATTTTTCGAATTGTTTGATTGATATTTTTATCACCCTTGAGAATTTACTTGAAAGATAACATATTGTGTTAAATGTCATGCTTCAATTGAGAAAGTACTCGTGGTGAAAGATGTGACCATCTAAAATCACTTGGCATACATATTTTCATGGCACAACCCTCGTATGATTTGCATCAAATAGCCTTGCATTAAGACCCTCAGGCCTGTAGACAGGTTGTTGTTTTGATTTTATATGTAAGCTTAAACTCCACTGGCTAAAAGCATTCGGATCAGGAGGTGTTCAAATTTCAAGGTTTTTGCATTCGCAAGATTCTGGATTTTGAAGAAATGTGAACATATTTTCAATAAATATTTTCAGTTATTTGACCGCATAGCTTTATGGCAATCTATTTATTTCAAAAAAGTTGATACAAATGAATTTAATCATGCAGAAAAGGCATATTACAATTGATACAATTCAAGGTTTTTTCCAGAATGTTTGATCTCATGAAAATTCAGTGTTTATCTTTCAAGTAGTTGAGCAATTTTGAATGAAACATGTGATATTTCATGTAAAAAGTTCAGATGAAACAGGTGAATTTTTCAAATATGACTTTCACTGTTCGAATTGGGAGGTGTTCACATTTCAAGGATTTTTTACATGGGAGTCAATGGGATGAATAAATGGGATCGAAAAAAGTGTTCAGATTGGGAGCTGTTTGAATTATCCAGGTGTTTGGATATATAGGTTTTGATGTATTTAGCATAAGATTTGATCATGTTTCAAATTAACCACTGTCTAACATCTTTACTGCAAACCATTTTTGATTTGGTCTGGTGCATACATTTCATAGTTGCAGTATAATTATTAATTACCCCATATGTAGATACAGTTATTATAAAGGATAAAACTATTGAATCCTTACAAATGGGGTGAAGCCCACAGCCTTAAAACACTTAAAAATAGAAAACACACCATCAGTCCATACTAATGAGCCCCAATTTGATGCAATTGGTAGTGTTTGAACATTGATATAAATTATTGTTCACCATTCCATGTTAAAATTGAACAATTAGGGGCTATGTTTGCAATTGCTTTAATTAGACTAAAAGCATGTAAGAAAATTAATATACCCAAATACCCAATCTACCGCTACACCGCCCCCTTCCTTCCGACCCCCTGCATCCTGCTTAGCGTAGATCTTGTTATTTTTCAGTCCATGATTGTAACAAGTTTCAGTACGAGTGTGAAAATCAAGGTAAGCCTCATGCAGACCCACAATGCATTGCAATTTACGACAAATGTGATGGTATCGTTCACTGTAGTGACGGATCTGATGAACAGAATTGCCCACCTAAAGGTAAGTCATGAATTTGCAGTACCCATTCAAAAATGTTTTGGTGGTCATGTTTTTTGTGTAGTTGATGAGATAGTGATACTTATCTAGCTTGAGTTCATTTTTTCAGTGCTGCTTTCAAAGTCTGCACAAAAGAAAACGTCCGCTATTCTCTCGACCTTGACATTGACCGATATCAACATTGAAAATGTTGTTATTGTCTTTCTATGAATTCATAATCAGCGATCCAAAACTAATATCTTGATCACTTGTGTGTTTTGAAATGTTTTGTTTGGAAACAAGAGCAAAATTCGCGATTCAAGTGAAAAATGGCGGCTGTTTGATTTTGAATTTTGAAATCACAACATGACTCCATATATGGCAGAATGAATATCAAGTTGGAATCCTGGGAGTCAGTCCTCCTTGATTTTCACAGAAAATTGAAAATGTGTATGGCATTTTGACATAATTTGAAAAAAAAAACGTTTATATCACTTACTTCCCTCTTAATTATATGCCATTACCTTAATAAATTGACTAGTCGAAAGGTCTAACACCCCTATTGAATGAACGGATTAGTGAATGAACTCGTCCAATACACTGCCTATCCATGCTTCATGCTACGACCTACTTCATATTACCTTTCGACGACCATCTCGCTACAAGCCTTCAACAGAACTTGGAGCAACTATATTCGTCAAGATGATGAACAACGAGGACGTTTACATGAACACCTCAGAGAAATGTCCTGCTATCATTCTCCAGCAAGAAGAAGGAGAATGCACTGATGGAGACACAGAGCAAGCAGGGATTCAAGAGAGTGCAGACCAGAACTTCAACATGAGTCTCACTGACAACTTTCTCAAGGAGAAGATTTCTGTTCTGATGAACGAAATGCTTCAAAACAAGCAACAAGAAAGCCCAAGGAACAGTGTGAACACCAGGCACAGCAGTCCTCGGAGGCTTCAACAGGAGGCAAGGTCGGACAGACCAAGCTCAGCGGCAAGGAGTGAATTTGTCAGAAGTCCCCGCAAAAGTTACAGGAGTCCCCGCAGGAGCCCTAGCCCATGGAGATTTCAGGACCCCAGAAGCCACGCAAGTCCCAGGAGACGTGCAAGTCCTTCGAGACGTGGCAGCCCCAGGAGACATGGGAGACATTCGAGCAGTCGGGACAGAGTTTGGAGCCCTAGGAGGCCAGAACCCAGACGTTATACGCCGGAGAGAAGAGGTCATCATGACCGTCATGGTGAACACAGTCCACGCAGGCGAAGTAGGTCTTACAGTCGTGAAACTAGTGTCTCTTCTAGTTACACGCCTAGACCACGTGACCCGTCACTTCGTAGCAGCAGAGACAAGCACAGAAGTCCCCATAGGAGACCAAAGTCCCGCTCTAGAAGCAGAAGTCCAGTTCGAACGAGGTCACCTAACCCGGAAGTGATTGCTCCAGTTTCACTTTCGAAAGAAAGTTCAACCAATCACAGTCTCGAACGTCACGAGGGGCCCGAGGATATGGACTCGCCCAGTGAAAATTTTCAAGATGGCGGCTCCAGGATTTCGGAAGAAGAGAAAGTTTTGGCTTCGTACAACGCGGCGGCGATATCACAAGTCAAAAACCTGTTACCAGACGCTAACCTGACGCACCAAGTTCCAGACAGAGCGGTGGTTATCAAGCCCTTGGCATCGCAGTTCTTCAAAAACGAGTCTGAAGGTAATGAAAAATCTTTCTTACCATTATCACCCACGGTGATGACTTGTTTTTCTAACAGATCCTCGATCATCGCGAACGATTTCGCCTTCAAAAAAGTAGGACAACTTTCCCGAAACGACAAGGCATCACGCTTTCCAATTCCTCCAGCCGGAGGACTTGTTGTTTCGAGTATGAGGCCAAATTCCAGCCTGTCAGCGGTGATGTCTGAAGAAAATTTCAAGAAAGCTGACAAGGATTTGACTATCAGCAAGACCCAGTATAGGCTTCTAGAGGAAGGCTTAAGATTCCAACTGAAACCTCTGGCATATGCAGAATGGCTGTTAGGTGCAGTGGCCAAAATTCTCAACGATTCTTCATCCACTGATACTAAGATGTTGTCTGATCTACTACAACCTGCAGCACAAGCCATTGGCTGTCTGACTGATCAAAATGTGAGACTGCTGTCCAACGTAGTTCTACTTAGGAGAGATGGCTTCTTGAAGAACATGACTTGCCCTTCTGCAGCAAAGGAAATGCTCAGAACTCTACCCATAAACCCTTTGGCTCAGGAATTATTCCCACAGGAGTCAGTCACTGAAATTTTGAAGTCCAACCAGTCTGATCTCACCAACCAGGCTTTAACTTCCTTGGCTAAGATGAATGCGAGAGCTGAATCAAAGAAGTCTTCTCAACCAAATAAGAAAGACAACAACAACAACAACAGAAAGTCCAGTTTCAATAACAACAATGGCCCTGGTAAAAAGAACAGCTCTAACTCCTTTCGTGGCAAGGGAAGAGGAGAGAAAAAATCACAGTGACTATCTACCTATATCATCCAGTCCTCCAAGTCTTTGTCTCCCACAGCTACCTGTAAGCCCTCAACAGCTACCAGTGGGAGGCAGACTACAGCATTTTCTTGCCAAATGGAAAGAAATCACAGATCTAGGAGGATTTCTACAGATCATAAAGGAAGGTTACCAGCCGAAACTTCACACAAAACCTACCCTTACATGCAATCCTTGGCCTTTCCAGTCATCAACAAGAGACAGAAAAGACCTTTATGCAGCTACAGTCACTCAACTTCTGGAGAAACAGGCCATAGAAGTTGTCCAGAACGTATCCAGTCCAGGCCTTTACAGTCATCTTTTCTTCGTCCCAAAAAAATCCGGCTCTCTAAGACCAGTCATCAACTTGCATCATCTGAACCTTCATCTAGAAGTTCCAAAGTTCAAGATGGAAACAGTAGCACAGATCATGGATGCAGTACAGCCTCAACAGTGGGTAACGTCCATAGACTGCGTAGATGCTTACTTTCATCTCCCAATCAAGCAGTCATTCAGGAAATACCTGCGCTTTGTTGTTCAGGACCAAGTACTTCAATTCAAAGCCCTGCCCTTTGGTCTGGCATCAGCCCCGATGATTTGGACACATCTGTTACGGCCTCTAGCAGCTCATCTTCACTCCAGAGGCATACTGTTTCATTATTACCTCGACGATTGGCTGATTCGAGGCAATTCACCTACAGTAGTTCTACAACATACTCAGATGGTGCTGGAACTGGCTCAGGCTCTGGGTTTCCTCATAAACTTCAAGAAGTCGGAACTACAACCAACTCAGAAGTTCACTTATGTGGGAGTAGAATACGATCTCAGCAAGGGAATTTGCCGTCCCCCTCACGATCGAGTAGAAAAGATATGGAAAGCTGTACAACATCTTCTAGAGAAGGGAATAGCCTCAGCAGAAACTTGGCAGTCTCTACTAGGCCTGTTGTCATCTGCGGAGAAACAAGTGCCATTGGGTCGTCTTCATCTACGACCTCTACAGTGTTGTCTGTTCCAACAGTGGTCTCCTCTATCTCAGCCCCAGTCACATCTAGTTGTCCTCTCACCAGATGCTCAGGGGGCACTCCTATGGTGGCTAGACCCCAGGAATTTACAAGCTGGTCAGCCTCTCAACAGATTTCACCCAACAATGACAATCTACACAGATGCATCGTTGGAAGCATGGGGGGCCCACACACAATCGCAGGAATGCTCTGGAGTCTGGTCCCAGTTGGAATCAAGTCATCACATCAACTTTCTGGAGTTACTAACAGTCAAGAAAGCTCTGATGTTCTTCAAGGAAAAGATAACTGGACAGAATATTCTGATTTGCACAGACAGCACGACTGTAGCAGCATATATCAACAACCAGGGCGGAACACATTCCCCTCAACTACTCCAGTTAACTCAGGAGATTCTCTTATGGTGTCACAATCAGCAAATTGTACTCAGAGCGAATCATATTCCAGGATCACTGAACAGAAGGGCAGATCAGTTATCCCGGAAAAACCAGATTGTCAACACAGAGTGGTCTCTTCATGCAGACATAACCAAGAATCTATGGAAAATATGGCCAACTCCCAATCTGGACATGATGGCCACATCTCACAATCACAAACTTCCAGTTTACGTGGCTCCAGTTCCAGATCTTCAGTCGTGGAAAACAGACGCCATGTCACTGAATTGGGACAACATGTACTTCTACATATTTCCCCCAACAGCAATGATAGCAGCAGTCCTGAACAAACTGCAGGCTCACCAAAACACAAAATGTGTAATGATAGTACCAAAATGGCCCAATCAACCATGGTACCCAGACCTTCTCAGTCTACTAGTAGATTTTCCTGTACTGTTTCCAATATGGAAGAAACTCCTTCTTATGCCAAGGACCTCGATTTTTCATCAAGATCCAGAAAAGATGTCTCTACACGCTTGTCTGTTATCAACAATAACTTGCGAGAGGAGGGGTTTTCTGAAGAAGTGTCCAAAGCAGTACAAAAGTCTAGGAGAAAATCTACCAATGCCATCTACGATTCAAAGTGGAAATTATTCTCTGTTTGGTGTTTGGAAAGAGATACCAATCCCATCGAGGCATCTATTCCAATGATTGCAGATTTCTTCATTTATCTCAGAAACACTAAAAAGAGGTCTTTTTCTACTATCGAGGGCTACAGAACAGCTATAAACAATGTCAGGAAATCTACACAATCTAAAGATCTCTCAGAATCACAAGTGATACATGATATGTTGAGATCCTTTAAATTAGAAGACGCAATTCCAAAGTCTACCTTACCCAAATGGGACTTGGTTTTTGTACTTCATGAACTATTAAAGCCTCCATTTGAACCTATGAATTCGGCAGATATCAAATGGGTGACTTTAAAGACTGTATTTCTTCTACTGTTAGCCTCGGGCAAGAGACGTAGTGAGATACATGCCTTAGATGTTACAAGGATACAATGGAAAAATAACAATACAGAAGTTTTCCTCTATCCATTCATTGGTTTTCTGCCAAAGAGCTTGGAAGCAGCAGAGGGACAAGCCAGATTTCAACCTATACATCTGAAATCATTGGCAAGCCATGTGGGAAATGATCCAGATCGATGCTTATGCCCACTTAGAGCACTCAGATTTTATCTTGCTGCTACCAGAGTCTTCAGAGGTACCAGGAATAGGATCTTCATACCTTGGAAGAAAGGGTGTAATAGCAATTTACACTTAAATACCTTATCCAGCTGGATGAAACATCTGATTCTTCTAACCTACAATAATTCCACAGCTGAGAGTAGAAGAATTGGGAAAGTTAACGCACATGAAATAAGAGCGTTATCAGCCTCATATGCAGTACAGTCGAATGTTAGCCTAACAGAAATATTGAAAAGTTGCTCTTGGGCTCACAACAACACTTTTATCGACTTTTATCTGCGTGATGTCACAGTCCTACAAGATGAAGCTAGAAAGCTAGGACCTGTGATGCTGGCTGGAACTGTGTGCGACCTGTAGCAGGTGCAGTAAGTACACAACAACTTTTTTCACCCCACCTATCCAATATGTTACATGCTATGACATATAATTAAGAGGGAAGTAAGTGATATAAACTGAAGATTTTTTTTATTAAATCAACCGTTTATGGAACTTACTTACCTCTTAATTACCAGAGACCCACCCACCTTCCCCGCTTGAGGGAAATTTTTTATTTTATTTTTTTGTATCTTCGAGGTCTCTCGGTAATATGAAGTAGGTCGTAGCATGAAGCATGGATAGGCAGTGTATTGGACGAGTTCATTCACTAATCCGTTCATTCAATAGGGGTGTTAGACCTTTCGACTAGTCAATTTATTAAGGTAATGGCATATAATTAAGAGGTAAGTAAGTTCCATAAACGGTTGATTTAATAAAAAAAATCTTCAATTTTTGATTTTTGATGTACTCTACAAAATGTGATCCATAAACTTAACAAAGAAATTACACATTTCATTAATTATTTGAAGTTGTAATCTTGAATATTCCCTTGAAAATTCATGGCAACCACGTTTTTGAATGGGTGACTGTATTATGAAACAATGCTGGCTTAAATAAATTCGATACTTTTAATTCAAAATATGGCCATATTGGCAATGTGACTGCAACTGTGTAATAGCTCATTTTTGGTTATTACGACTTTTTGACATTTTTCTCTTACAATATTTTGATTTTCAGATTTTTCATTGACTTCATGCACATCACATGGATTAAACAGAGAGAATGTCATGCCAAGCAAAAATTGTGTGTCACCAGAAATGTGAATTATACTTCATTTTTTATAATATTTATAAGCATTTTATCAACAACATTCCATCATAAATTGCCATATAGCATTGTTTCATATAAAACAAATAATAAAAATAACAATGATTTTAATAAATGTATAATAATAAAGCTAATAATAAGTTAACAACAGCAGTTGCACAATATACACAAAGAATGATGATCCCCATAATGCACCATTCTTAGTTGATGTGTGTTATGAATGGGATTTATCCTTGTTTATCAGTTTGCTCAGGGACTGGTCAATATATCAATTTTAGAAAATACAAAACAATAAACCCTCTCCCCTTTTCAATAGAGGTTATTAACAAACAAACAAACAAACAAATAACATGTTGTCATGGTAACTTCTATTTTCTGGACTTTCCACTTCCCTAAGATTGAAGTTCTTTACTTAAAAATTGATATTTTGACCAGGCTCATTAATTGACAAAGATTTCTTAGGTTTGGTAGTAATGCAGCACATTGTGCATATAACAGGCATGGGGTTTGAGCTTAGGTGTCTCAATATCTTTTCCATAACAAAGATTATTCATAAGGTGTCTCAGAAATATTTTCATGAAAGATTTCATTTTTGATCCCATGAAGTTTGTTAATAACACACACATACAGGGTGGCCCAAATAATTCAACCCTTTATTGCCAAAGGTTCACTTGCTGCATTCATGAAGCTCTAACATTTGTATAGTTATTGTTATTGGCATTTTTATTCAGGTGTTGCATTTTTGGGGTCACCCTGTACAATATATCATCTAACTCTAGGCTTCAAATCTTCCTTGCTTCATTGTTTGGTGCTTTGGCTTTAACTAACATTTTTTTCTTTTTTCTTAAGACCCTCCAACCACCCTCCCTCCCACTCTACCCCCAACTACAAGAAAGACAACTGCTGCCCCATACCAGCCTCCCATCCATGACAGACTGCCTGAAAACTGGTCAAGATTTGGTCCAAACTATGATTACCATACATATGATTCAGCACAGTCTCCTCCTGATAGCTGGTCTCAGCAACTAGAAATTCAGCAAAAGTCTCGTCCTGAAAATACCCAGGCAAATCAAAAAGAATCTGAAATGGATCATCATGTGAATGTTCCCCCTACTGAAAAACCACTTTATCGCTCACGTCCTGATCCCGAGCCCCCTCTGGAACCTCCCCATCAGAATCCAGATTCTGACCTCAGTCCCCCTAAGCAGCCCTCCATCAAAGTTCACAACCATCCTGCTCCTGACCAATCAGAAATCTCTAGGGATCATGGTGATGGCTTGCATAAGTCTGGTGGCAGCGGCAATAGGCATGCTGGTGGTAATACTGGTGGTGGTAGCATCGATAAACAACAACATTCTGGTAGTTATGACAACAGGAACTTCGATGAACAAACTTATGGCTCAAAGCAGAACTATGACACTAAAGATAACTATGGGAAACAGAACTTTGACAGGAAACAAAACTATGACACAAAACAGAAGTACGACCCAAAACAGAACTACGACATTAAACAGCAAGATTATCATATGAGCGAGAGTAATATGGGGGGTCTGACATCTAAGACCACCAAAGTGGAACATAAAGGGCGTGATGGGGACACACCACGGCAACCAACTCATAAAGACCAGTTGGAAATACCCGAAAAAGAAAAAGCTGAGACTCAGTTTTCCCCATATTACGATAATCCTCATAAACAAAGCAAGCCAATATATAATGTTAACGATGATAAATCTTTACCCTATGATGACTCATACTATGGGTACTCTTCTAATAACGGGAACCCGCAAAGGAATTCTTACGCTTATAATAGACAACCCAATTACAAACAAAATGGCCACCAAAGGGGAGGAGCCAAACACAACAATGGAAGAAATCGAGGAAATGGACACAATAAAGATGCTGGATTGAAGAATCATGGTCGTTATGGCAACAAAAACCATCTCTATGGTTACCGGGATCCCTACAGCGATTATTACTACCCACCTGCTGATTATAGCGATGATAGAAATTACGATTATGATGAGTTTGGTAATATGCGTCAAGGTAATGGTACACTGGATGTTTACATGTATACACTTGACATTGTACAGTACTCTAAATGTTGTATTCTTGAAGCAGTTGATGTGTACACTGTGTGTAATTTTGAATGTTATAATTCAAATGTTACGTTTAGCCCTTGTATGACTCAAGAATATATATGTATGCCCTTGCATATTACAAAATGATATGTAAGCTCTTTTATGACTCAAGAATGTACATGTATGCCCTTGCATATTCCAAAATGATATGTAAGCCCTTTTATGACTCAAGAATATACATGTATGCCCTTGCATATTACAAAATGATATGCAAGCCCTTTTATGACTCAATAATGTGCGTTTATGCCCTTGCATATTATCTATGCCTTTGCATATTCCAAAATGATATGCATGTTTCATAATTGGTAACAGTCCCAATAACTTACTTGGATACAGTAATATGCACGTGCATGTAGTGTAGATGTATGCATACTTAATATGTAAGCCCTCAGCCCTCACGCACCATTAGATAACATAGTATGCATGCCCATATACTTTTAACAAAGACTTTATTAGAACTTCAACCAGATGAAGGAAATATGTTATACAGTAAAACCTGTAAATTGTGAACAATATTGTTGTACTCTTATTAAATATTTTAGACCAACGTCATATATAATGTTTAATTCCAAGATATATTTGCCTTATGCCAACTCAGAACGAAGTACATATTTTCACCTCATATTTATGCATAAAACAATGACAATATACATCCAAATAGTAAAAATAAAAACCAAAAATGCACTGAACTGAGTGAATATTTTACGACACAATGTCGTAAAATGAAGGTGAAAGTACTTTCCCGGGAATTATATGACTACGGACAGCTAGTCAACATGATGACAGAATACTGACTGAGGTATAAAGCTTTTATTTAATTCCTGACGAGGAAATAAGCATTTTATACCATGATCAGAATGAATTAAGTTGTGTTACTATTTACTATAAGGATTATCAAATATCATGTAATGATATCTGTAAAAATAGTAAAATACAATCTACATATTATGTAATGACGTTAAAACTGAATTTTCTGCTCATTTTAGAACTTAATGTACTACATTTTGTTCACAAAACAGGTTTTACTTCATATTTATGGTATACAGGTATAGTAGTTCTTTCAATATTGTATTTGTATTTAATTATTGTATAATTATTGTATTTGTTGAATCTTGGATTTTAAGTTCAGATAATTATGTCATAGATTTTATGTCATAGATTATATAGTTGACTACATGTAATTATTTTGATCAAATCTAGAAGATGGATTTTTTGTATACATTATAGTTCATAGTCTATTATGTTATAATACATTATAATAGAATATACAATTGCATGTATTGTCTCATTTAAGCCCCCCCCCCCATTGTGATTCTTGATGATATTGAATACAATCTTGGGATTCGAATACAGTAAAACCTGAGTAAATTGAATGCCGGGAAAAAACATTCAGTGTTGGTAGTTGTTCTCTACAGAAAGGGTAATTTATACTGAAGTCAGTAGGGTATGTGTGGAGGAAGGGTGTCCTATAGAGACAGGTGTTCACTATTGACAGAGGCGTTCAATTAGACAGGTTTTACTGTATCACAAATTAAAGCTGAAATATAATGAATTAGACTTCACATATCAATATTAGAATTTGAAAAATTCAATTGTCTCACAATATTACAATGAAAAAGGCCATTGAATTTCTAAAAATCTCATCTACAATATATTGTAGAAATACATGTAATCATTGCTGATTTTTATATGTTTTCTTGCATGAGCTTGCATGATCTTGCATGTCTTTGCATGTGGACTGATTTTTATTTTATTTCTAAATAAGTCTTGGATAGTACTTGTAAATCTTGTTTCTTAGGAATTGGTCTATTTATGCTAGGATTTCTTTATAAATTAAAAGATTGATTACACAATGTATATCAATATTTGGGGAATTTTAGGAAAAAAACTGGTCACTTGGCCATTCCTTGTAAAACAAATCACATATTACAGATGAAATTAGACAGAAAATGTCAAACTGCAAACTATTCCATTTCATCTGTTTTCTGACTGTTTTTTTTTAAGATTTTGCGATATTTTGATCCTTTTTACAGCTAGCAACAGACAAAAGATTATTTGATCATCAGATTTTTCAATTCCATGAGAAAGTCTTATTGAAATATTGCAAACTCAATCAGAATGCAACTATTATTAAACAAATGATAATAGATCAATAATTGTATTTTATTTTTTCCAGAACAAAGAATAGACCCTGATGACCCAAAAGTACAAAAGATTGATTCTGGTATGTACAAATCAGCCGTATTACACAATATGGTTTATTTATTTACACACTTTAACCTCTTGAATCCCAAACTCTAAAATTAGTTGAAACCAGAGAATTTTTCATTTTTGCCACCTTTTGACATTTTACTACATACCTAACTGTCCACAAAAGAGGGGATATTTCTGCGAGTTAAACTAAGAAGTGGCTTTGTGAATTAAGGCCAGGGTGCATGTTGGGATTTTTTGCAATTTTGAAAAGTAAACCACTGAATATTCTCGTTAATAAAACATTCTGAAGAATTATCAACCCTCAATTAATAATCTAGGTACACTAATGCATCTTTTGTGCAAGAATGAAAGATGTAGATGATGTGTGGAATGACTTATGTTTATCTGAAAATAGCACATGGTCATGAAATTTCATCAAAGTGCCCCCTGACCTTAAAAGGGAAAACTGAACATTGATGAATTTCTAAGGGGTCATCTCCTAAGTTTTGCTCTAAATTTTAAAAGTGAAGAAATTTGCTGAACCACCCTCCTACCCTTGTCAACTATTGGCACACTTTGTTAACAATGTCTTAATATCATTGACAGTAGTCACACGTAAAAATGCTTGATATTGAAATGTACTTATTGGTTTACATTAATCAAACACTGGAGACAAGGCCGAGATGCTCCATGGAGTGTTTTTACAACCATGGAGCATATTTTACTTGTCATTGTCTTCAACTTTTTTGTGGAGAGTGATCCGTATTTGGTGGTTGGTGTTAAGGGGTCAACATCTGTAACAAATGGCTGGTTGTGAGACATGTTAATGCCTTGTCTGAGTGTGTTTTTCTCAGTGGAGTGTTTTACTTCTTCATAAATTAGAATATCATACTGACTTTGCAGGTAACATCAACCCTGAGCCTAAAACTTCTAACACGCTAACCAGTGCAACTAACTCTAAATCTGCACCAGAGCACACTGCCCCAGGTAGCGCTAACCCTCCAGATTCCAGCGAAATATCTAGTAAGTCTGTTTAAAGGTTGAGGGCATGTTTGATGAAAAACTTTTTTTTAACATATTATTTATTTACTTCATAATCAAAAAATACACAAAATATCTACTACCAATCGCCATAGGCATTCTAGGTAGTTTAAATTACAATAGAGGATTAATCACAGTAATCATAGATGGTTATTTATGGTAATGTGAGAGGTTTGGAGGGAGGGGGGTGTCACAAGATACAAATGAGAGTTACATTAATTTGATGAAAAACTGACATGCTTTATCTCTAGTTCTAGACTACTGTCCCCTTTTTATATGTCATTTTCCAGGTTTCATCCATAAAAAGTATCAAAGTTGAAAGAAAATTTCCATTAATTCAGAATCTCTCAATGTAAACCAGTGTTCTCTCCAGGATTTTTTCTCAATTCAGACCAAAATAGGTCAAAATATGCCCATTTTACATGATTTTTTCATTTACAATTGGGTGCAAATGAAATCTCGGGTGGGTGCAAGCCTGTTTTTAAAATCTCAGGTGGGTCCTGCCATGCGTTAAAAACACTTCTCATCGACATTAACTTTATTTTTCAGGTGAGGGAGATGAGAAGCCAGAGGTGGGGAATAAGGAAAGTGATAAAGATATGATCATTGCCCCTGATGAAAATGAAGCCAATAACTCCTTTGAGGAAAAGGAAGAATCAAAAAATACTAAAAATGCAGATATTATTCCTAAAGATGGAACAAATCCCATCGAAACTAAAAATAGTGAAAACATTCATCCCAGCTCCGAGGTGAATGATAATAACACACCAAAAAATATTTCCATGACACACCCCAATGTTAGTGAGGAATCACCAGAAGGGGAAGATATTGTTGAAGAGAAAAAGGAGGCTGATATTTATGAGCAAATATCGGAGTCTAAAGGAGCAGTCATAGCCTTGTCCCTTGGGCTTTGTATAACTGTTCTCCTATTGTTTTATGTTGGGTGTAGATTGCGTCGTGTGCAGAGTCGTTTACGTCGTGGAAAGCCAATGAATTCCAATGAAGCAGACTATTTAATCAATGGCATGTATCTATAGAATTCAAGCCAGTATTAAAAGTTGAGAATCCACAGGATTTCATCATTGTGTGATCACTCTTGTGCAATTATACAGAGTGGCCCCAAAATTGCAATTTCCATTTTCTGGAATCTGCTTCATTGATTTATCTATACAAGAAAATTCAACATCCAACCAAAATTGAGAAAGTTATTCTAAAAATAGATGGTTCCATTTTTGGGTCACCCTGTACCACTCATTTAAAAGTGGTCCTTTTTGTAAACAGCTGCTAGCTAGCTAGTGATTCCTCTTTTCTGTATACACTTATATCATTAAGTATTCACCAAGAGGTCAACATATTCAATGATATCCTTATAATTAAATATATTTTCATAAGGTCTATAGAATTAAAAACCCTCAATGTTCTAATTGTTGCATCTTTGCCAGATCTAATTAAAGCCACCACCAAATTAAAGCAATTTAGAGTATGTGAGGTCTAATGTCTCACAATGGGTGATACTATTGTGATGCACCCCTTAGTACTTTCATCTACATCTCCTTGTTCTTCACAATGGCATAGGTGAGGCATATATATGGCAGTTGAGGCAATTGCCTCATAATAATTCCATAAAATCTACAGAGGATGTTTATTCCGGCATTTTTTAACTGAAGCAGTTAACATGAATTAACTGCACTGGTAGTACTAGTATTAGAAAATATAAATCCATCCAGCATTAGATTGCCCCACCTATTTGAGTTAGCCTTGTATTGCCTGGGTCACATTTCCTCCGATCCATCGGCCGGCGCCCGGCCAATTAAGTGTTTTGTTCAATATTGTATTCAATTTTGAACAAAATACTCAATGCCGTAGTGAAAATCTTAGCAAATTTGACCAAGGCATATAACAAGAACATCAACATCGTCCATTCTGGTGTTATGGAAATCCATGGTAAATGGTTACATTGAAATGGTGGCATTTTCCATGTTTCGAATGTAATCTGATTTTCTTGCATTACAATACAATTTATTGTGATAGTGGAATGGGTGATAGGTGTTTTTCGTGCGATGAAGTCTAAAAATTTTAATTGGTATAATCATTTAGGCCACCTAAAACTACATTTATTCATGAATTTTCAGTTTCCAATTTTTCAGCGTTAAGCGGCTGTTCCATTTTACCCCCCCCTGAAAAACCAAAAGAGGGGTATGTATACAAATGCAGCCATTTCACCATTATACTTCAAGCAATTCTATTGAAAGTTCATGGGAACATACATTGTATAATAGACATGTATCATGCAAAATATGAGTGTGAAAGCTCTACTTGTTGCCATGGTAACCACTCGTTGAATCATAAAAATGACTGAAAAAGGGCGATTTTCGTACATTCGGATTGCAGTAAACTGAACTTATCTTGTTGTAAGAGATTGATTGATCAGTCTAAATATGCTTAAAAACTTCCCAGATGTGTATGGTACAAATCTAGGGGAAAAGTAAATTTTTGGGATGTTTCTTATATTTTACATGATTTTTTTAATATGCATACCCCTATTCAGGATCCATATGTGCTTTTCTTGTCTGTAATGTCAAAAACATAGATATCTTCAATATTTCAAGTTGAATCTTTTCTTATATTATACTGGAAAGCTAAATGCATATTAATGAGATCCATGGTCAGGATTAATGTAATATTTGTATCTGTTGCTCTGGTGACCACATATAACTATTAATTTTTCGCACATGTTCCATGTTATATCGTGAAGACAGCAGATTTCATCATTTCAGGAATATTTGTCTTGCATCATTACATACACAATACACAGAGTAAAAGGTCTAAAGAGGTACTATATCTAGTATACTTAGATGGGGTTTGTCATGACTGACTCTTCAAAATTGAGGTTTTAAAAAAAAGCACATGTAATGAAAAATCAGAAAATGGAACTTGTTACAAGATTAAGTTGAAAACAGGTAAAATAAACTAATAACATTTATGACATATTATTCTCTTACATCTGAAGAAATTGAAAATACATTAAAACATAAATTTTCAGAATAGTTTACCATGAAATTAAGATTAAACTGAAAAAGTAAATGTCAAACAATATATATTTCAGGGAAGCAATGAGTGAACGAGTCTTGAGAAAGCGTGTTGCACCTGCATCAGAGGCTCGCGGTGAGACATCTAGGCCAACATATCTGTTTTCCGATTCCAAATGTATTTTTTGTGATAAAACTATTAAATATCTGAAAAACAATAAGAAGGAATATCTTACACAATGTACTACAAAAATAACTAGAGCAACAATTAATCATGCTATGCATATAAGAGAGGATTGGAACTTAATTCGCAAAATTGGCGGACGTGATCTTCTGGCTGGAGAGGCTCATTTCCATCAGGCTTGCAAGCGCTCATATTGTGAACCTAAAATTGTTGGAAAACCTGAGGTAGATGACTATGGTGATTTAATTGAAAAAACTACAGGGACAAATGTCAAATTTGATGAAAAAGAACCAGAGGAATCCAATGACCCATCATTCACCAACATATGTGAAAGGATATCCGAAGACATTATGCTTAGGAAGAATGTTGGTTCTCTTAATAACATTCACAAACAATATCAGACCCATAAACAAGAAAATGATCCCGTGAATTATCAAAAGGACTATCGCAGAAGTAGATTGAAATCTCGCTTGCAGTCTCATTATGGTAATAGAATAGTTTTACAGCCTGGTAAAAATGAGAAAGACATTTTGATTTATAGCTCAAGTCTAACTGTATCAGATATTGCTGACTCAGCTGCAATGGTAAATCAGACAAATGAACATGGATGCCTGCAGAAAGCAGCACATTATTTAAGAGACAAGATAATTGCTGCTAGTGAAAACGTCTCTCCAACAAACTGGCCACCATCTGCTTCAGAATTATCAGCAAGTATGTTCCACACTATTCCACCAGAGTTGCAATATTTTCTTATACTTCTGCTATCAGGCAATGACACAAAAATAAACAATACAAAATATAAACGCTTGACTCATACCATAGGGCAAGACATTTGCTATGGTGCAACAAATGGATCTTTCAAAATGCCAAAACATTACTTGCTTGCGATAGCTATTCATCATCTTACAGGGAGTGCAGAGTTGATCACACTACTGAATCATCATGGCTACTGCACCAGTTACACAGAGGTCCTAGAAATAGAGACTGCAATATGTGAAGAGATTAAACAGCAAGTGTCATCCTTACCACCATCAATATCCATTTTGTCAAACCAAGTTCTGATGTATTGCTTCGATAATTTTGATCTCAATGAGCAGACTCCCAGTGGTTCAGGAACTACACATTCTACCCATGGCATTGTCATTCAAGAACAGAAATCTGTGAATCCTCACTGTCATCAAGAAACAGCTATGGAGGTTGACGCACATACAGAGTCTAGTGAAAGTCAAGGTCAGCTGGAGCCAATGGATGATGATGGTGGTGATATTTCTTCAGAATCTCAAGGTGGTGTGCCAATCCTTCTACCTCAGTCAGATGAACATGTTGATGAAATTGTTGATTCTAGTGCTCAGCCTCCATCACTTGAACCAACTAAGGAACGCTACCCTAATGCAAGGAGATCAGTTAAACTGACAGAGAACATATTACCACCATGTTATGCAGTTAACAAAGCAGAACCACCTAAAGGGTTTGATGTCTTCACAATCTCAGAGGAAAGTGAGGTGGCATTAGCTAATGCTTCTAGAAGTGATCTGATGTGGATTTTGTGTCGTCATCAACAGTCAGAAAATCAGAGTGTCCCTAGCTGGGCAGGTTGGGTGTCACTAACAGGCAAGGGCTCAACTAATGTACCAGTTCAGTCTGTTATAGACTATCTTCCTCCAATAAACCACCCAATAACTGAGAATGCTACAGTTCAAGAGTGCCTGAATATTGCTATGCAAGGAACAGCTGAGGTGGGCCAACATTACACATTAGTAACATTTGATCTGGCAGCAGCCAAAAAGGCCCTGAACATTGTATGGCAATTTCAAAAATACTGTACTGTGATAGTAATGTTAGGTGTTTTCCATTCGCTGTGTTCTTATTTCTGCACCATTGGAAAATTTGTGAGGGGCTCTGGTTTTGAAGAGATACTGCTTGAATCAGAAATTTGTGCTAGTGGATCATTAGATGCAGTCCTTAATGGAAAAAATTACAACAGAAGCCTGAGAGTTCACAAGATAATGTATGAAGCACTGGAACGTATGTTGTTGGAGAAATTCCAGCAGGAACACCAACTAAATCCAGCTGCAAAGAAGAAACTTCAAGATCTAGCTGAAAACCTAAATGAAGAGCTTCTGCAGCAATCCCTCTCTGATAAAGATGTTAGTGAATTCTGTCAAAAATTCTTCCAGTTCAAAATGGACATCAGACAAGGGAAAATGGGTAAAACTCCACAGTTTTGGGTCCAGTACAGTGATATGGTTGGCACTGCACTTCAGTATATCCGTGCCACAAAGGAAAATGATCTCAACCTCCACATTGGAGCACACTCAGCCATGAATAGTGCATTCTTTGCCATGGACCATCAAAATTATGCCAGATTTCACTGTTACCAATTTCTCACCCTTCTCAACCTGGATAAGACACATCCTGGTGCAACAGAGCTCATCTCAAACAATGGATTCTCTGTTTCAAGATCAGATGTATCCTGCTCACGAAATCCTGTGGACATTACCATAGAACAAACTATCAATTGCAATGCAAAATCTAAAGGTGGTATTGTTGGTTTCAGTAGGAACAAGGGTGCATATCAGCGCTGGTGCGTTACACGAACACAGAGAGGACTGTATACAGAGGCTGCCCTTGATATAGCTGGAATGAGAGACTCAGACGATATCCTCCATAGAGACAACTCATTAGCCCAAGTAACAACATCTGAAGCTGGTGTAAAGTCAGTAATGCAGGCATTCAAAAGCTTCATCAACCCATTTGACATCAATGAGCCTGCTCTTCACTGTGTATCATCTGGTTTGCCAGCCCCAGCAGAAGTTCAAGGGCTGACTGATGCATTACAGAAAGGTTACCAAGCAAGTGAACAATTCATTGATAGACTGAGAGATCAAAACTCAGAACTTAAGTTTCACGATAGCATAAAAAAGATGAAAGTCGCAACATTTGCAAATTCTGCTGTGACCAAGAAGATGACAACTTCAAAAAATAAGGTTGTTGAAATCAGCGCCACAAGAAACCTATTTGGCCAACTACTTAATGTATCTCAAAACAGTGAGATTAGTCTTGAGAGGCTCATGGG